TGTGTGTGTGTGTGTGTGTGTGTGTGTGTAGCAGTTCACACAGTTAAAAAGAGGATTTATAAAATATGAAATATAAAGGCCCCCCTTGTTGGATTTCACTTTAAATATTTTTGTCTCTGTTACCTAATACGAGGCTCTGGTAAAAATATCAAGTGTGCAAAAGAACAAATGACACTTCCCACTCTCTCCCTGGATAATGCTGGTATCACTTTCTCTTCAAATTCTGAAGCAATGCGCCAAGCGTCTGTTTTCTGAAGTTTTGTGCAGTAAAGTACCCTCAAGTATTTCTATGACCCAGACAGTTGAGCATCACAAGTAGCTGTTTTTCTCGTGGCCAAGAAAAAGGTCATTGTCATCATTCTAAATTAGTTTCTGCCTTCAGGCATCTGAGTTGGTTTATCCATTTCTGTAAATTGCTTCCCATCACCTTGCCGTATGTCCTTCAGTATTTTTTTTTTTTTTTGCCATCTGCAGCTCGTACCTATCTCCTGCAGCTGTTGTCTCCAGCTGTCAGCTTCAGGAGAATCAGGGTTGTCAGCAATAAGCTTCCTCAGTGTGGTCTTCAACTCCTCCACCGTCCCAGAATGCTCAGCCAGCTCCGAGAGCAGGGCCTGAAGAGGAAGAGGGAAGATGAGCACGACAAAAAACAGAAGCTTAACTTATCGGAGCCCACAGTAAATAATATAAAACAGTTTATCAAATGTAAAAGAGGATCACAGCTATAATTTAACCAGGTTGTTTAATTTGAAATGCGTGACACTAACCCTTAACATTACACAGCAGGAGATAAACCCGGTTCTTTACCTTGTTCTCTTGGGCCTGAGCACGTACCACCTCAGGTTTGGAGGGGGAGGCGGTCTGTCCCAGTCTCAAACTGTGCTCTTTGTCTGTCAGCCAGCTCTTCAGCTCCTCTGCGCCCTGCCTGGCCTTCTGCCTCAGCTCCAGCGAGGCCTGCTGGCGACTGAGACGATCTTTCAACTCCCCGCCCAGCGTCTCATATCGACCGTTCACGTCGGACACGGCCACCTGGAGCTCCGTCAGGTCTGAGAGCACGCGGGGAAGAAGAGGGGGACAAAATAGGGCAGAGATTAGCTGCAGGGCAGAGACGCATAGAAATAGACAAGTACATTTCTAGTGTTGACAGATCTGCAACAATCTAGTCAAGTAGAATTATAAAGGCTGCAAGTTTTATTAAGTGAACAAGTTTGCCACTGACAGATGTGTTGCACAGATATAAAGCTGACAGAGACACAGAAAACACAAGAATCCCTCAGACTGAGCTGCGAGGAAACAACCAGGACGGACTCACCTTTGCAGGTGTGAATGCCATTGACACTGCTGGGACCTGCTGAGCCATTGATTTGTGGGGCACCTGGGAGAAACACACACACACACACAC